CATGGAATCAAACCCTTATGGAAAAATATGAAAAAGACACTATTACTATATGGCACAAATGGATAATAAAGAATTATAATTTCACAGAAGGAACAGGTAGTGAGACAAATAGGACTACGTGGACCGTGAAAGCCACATTAGAGGGAAAGAAAAGAGCGAATGGTAATTATAAACATCCATACACTTTGGAATATTTTCCAAATGCAGGGATCCCAGAAAAATTTATAAATATCTCTGGAATAGCAAAATACCTAACAACGAAGGTAATAGATCAACAATACAGGAGTGCATTGTTGCTATATATGATGCAAGGGGGTGAAGCTCTAAAACATTATGCTATTACCAAAAGACCTAATGGTTACGTAAGATACCACGGAAGGCATCAAGATATAAAGGATGTACGTACCGGAAGAAAAGAAGGTAATCTTATATGGCCAGTACACATGAAATATCTAGGTTCACACAAAATTTTAAACTCGTATAAATCCCAAATGATAGGGCAGTGGGAAAGTGGTTATTATTTAAAAATAGCTGATCCAGATAGTTACTCATGGGGAACTCAGAGTAAAATATATATCAGGCCCACTCGAGGAAATTTCAGCAAAAGATGGAATGTCACTGATTGGTCTGGAGGACCATGTACCCGACGGGACAATATAGAGATTGTAAAATCTTTGAAAGGAAAAAGGATAGCATATAACATGAAGTGTGTTAAAGAATTCGATTTAGGAACTGAAGTATTGATGGTAGGTGAAAGGCAGGACAATAAGAAAATTGAATTCTGGAGTGATCGCATAGAAACACAATATCTATGCACAGGGGAGCTGTTTAACAATTGGCGGCATGCAACTTTTAGTGCACCCATATTTCAGTCCTATGCAGCTGTGACTACAAAGGGTAGCATTGATAGGAATTACATGTCATGTAACTATGAAGCCATGGAAGGCGCCCTATGGGCAAAAGAGAACCTAAAGATAACTCCAATAATTTTGAAGCAAATGGTAGGAGAAACTCAGATAAGAAAAATATGTGCTATTATTCCTTATATTAGTTATTTAAATGATTGGAAAGAACTATTACACCCAGTTGATGATTTCTTGGAGGGTGAGAGTATTGGAAGTCACTGGTTGCATCGAATTGATTATTGGTCAAAAACCAGAAGCCCATCAGAGGTAACTCTAATCAAGTTGATGGGGAAAATCGTGAAAACAGCATTCGAAGATATAGGTGGGAAAATTAAGGAAGTGGCCATAAGTGTATGGAATATAATGACAGACACATGGGAAATAATAAAAATTGTTCTCTACTGTGTTGTGGGAACAATAGTAATCATTGTGATAGTGGGTATTCTAATCAAATTAGTAAACATATGCATACATTGTAGAAAACTAGGACAGCTAGTTAACATGGCAGAATATAGGAAGATCCCTCTGTCGGCTGACCTCTCAGAGTCAGAGAATGACAGTGAAGTAGAGGGGGAATGGCCTATATCTGACCTGGAAGATCATAAAAGTTAAGAACTCGGAATCTCAGCTCATTCTTCTGTGGACCCAGCAGACTGACCTGATTTACCAACTAAAGAACTTTTCTTTGGAAAACCTGAACGATGGCATCAATGATCGAACCAAATTGGGAAAACAATTCCAATATGACCGAACCAACCTGTTCCAACCTGCCGGTAAATACATTTCAAATTATAATCTATAATGTAATTTTGAGCATTTTTTGGATAATAATGATAATGGGGTTACAAGGATTATGGCAAATTCCAATTGCAATTTTTAGTATAGCCTCATTCAATTTGCGGAAAAGGCTAACTCTGGCAGGCATATTAATTGGACAAGTTGTGAAAAGCCCTAGAATAAAATCCACTTTTGGAACTAGAGGCTTGATAGGACTGGAACTCCTCAATATAATACTCATGTCATGTAATATGGTACAGTATTATCTTGAGGTCCAATATGTAAAGTACATAGGATTCTCTTCTACCCTATTGGTGATTTTGTATCTTATGATAATTGCCACCAGGAGAGTAGAAGTTGAAGGTATAAAGATGGCTATCTATGAAATAACAGTAATAACAACTGCATTTATGACAATGATGATTGCAGAATACTATAATGATCTTGGAATGTTTGGTATAGCCATATTGATGGTTAGTAATGATTGGTTTTATGTGACAAAACGGATAAAAACTGTTAAAGAATGGTGTCTCAATATTGAGCTGACAGCACCCTTTATAACTTACAATTAGGATTCTACAACCACCATGGGACGGCAGAGGACAAGATACCTAGACCGCATTTCAGATACAAGTGGTGGAGCAAGAATTGTAGTCGAAGTTAATAAAAACTGTGCTATATGTGGAATAATTCATGGAGGTTTAAGAATAAGATGTTTTTTGGAAAATCAATGGCTGAATCTATGTTCAAATTGTACTGTGATACAAAATGTAAAAATGGATGAGATTGGAGGAGTGACTATGTACCAACGTGGAAGGAAAATGCACATTAGTGGTCCATGGGTATCAAAGAGCTTTCTGACGTGGTGTATAGAAATGAAATTCAGGGTCTGTAAAATCAGTGAAATTCAATCTATGCAGGCGGGTACTAATAATAGTTACACAGCCACATCTTATCACCTCGAAACGAGAATGTACCAAAAGAAAAGAAAAACTAGAGGCTTAAAAGCAATAATAGGTATTGTTTACAGGCATTGGATTTTGGATAACCCAAGCCAACCAGTAGGTGCTAAAGACAAGTTCAACTATAGTTGTGTTTATGTCCCTACAGACAGTCCTTATATCAGAGGCCCCCGGGGTATGGGCAATGGCACTTCTTACCTCGGACGTGGCGGAACAAGGGCAAATCTTTGCAGTCAACCAGTTGAATCTGGACAAACTGACGAAGGTCTGGCGGAAGAGACACGAGTTTCAGTGGCAACCAGTACACAGTCAATGGTACAGGCAGGAGGTGATCCAAAGTTTGAGGAGATGGTGTTTCCGATCGGGAATGAGCCATGGTGAAGTGAAATCATTAAAAGTTATGATGTGTAAGCCTGATGGAATTAGCCACCGCCTGTATGAAATTGAATTTGACTGCATTACACCCAGTGTATATTGTACTGATTTTATGAGCACAATGGATAGATTCTGTATAAGAGATTTTTTAGGAAAATCAAAACCAAGACCTAGGAAACCTAGAGTTAAATTGAACAGATTCAGAGATGTTAAAGAAGCTCAGTCGATGCCGAGAGGGGGTGTTGTGGTCGGGGATGAAGGCCCACCTGAGAGCGGCACCTCCCTCGCTTCATTTACCCCTCCAACTCGACGTCAGCGCCGAAAGGGTCACAATAAGAAGTCTGTGTCTAGAGATGCAGCGGGTGAGCTGACTATGTTAATGAGACACATAACTATCTAAAAATATTATGCTGAATAGTAAAGTTGTTGTACTTCTCTGTACCTCTCAAAATCACATGAGAGAGCAATGACAAGGGTCATTGTCCACAAATACAAAGGAACTATTATATCATGCTTCCACAGGAAAAGCAGGACTACACTTGCTGGGACCAGCAAGTCACACTCGTGATATTGAAATAACAGTCATATGCCTTATTGAAATAACAGTCATGTGTTTTACATTTGTACTGTATGTATGTGTGTGCCTTCTGTTAACTATGCTGACGACGGCTGGATTTACACGATAAAAGAGGAGACCTGGACAGGACCCCTTTGCTCTTCCTTGCAATCTCCAGTCCGGTACACCAGCAGTTATCGGATGCAAGAAGCTTTAAGCCTAGCTAGTATTACTCTGTTAGAATTTGTACTCCTTTTGGAATCTGTAACAAGTATTCTTTTTCATTTTGATTATTTTAATAAATATTGTTAAACATTTATTATAATCATCTTGACTGGACCTTGGATTCTTGAGTACGTGTCACATTCTTCTTTCCGGATCAGGAAGATCCCGACTGAAGGAAACGACCAGAGGGTGAGCATTCTTTTGATATAAGAATGATCACTGTGAGATTTGATTGATTAAAAAGCCTAGCCAAAGAGGCAGCTTACGACAGGGTTATTGTTGTATAGCGAACACGGTTGAAGAGTACCTAAAAAAGTAGACCTATACTATAAAGGGGAAATCTATTATATTTATAATTTATTATCTTTATAATAGAATACGAATTTATAGAGACTGATCGCTTAACTCTTAAAGGCACGACTAAAGGATAGGCTCTTTAGTTACCGCGGGATTATCCATATGTCCTGGGTAGGATGTAGGATAATTTGGAACGGTATTAATCGTGACAACCTTTACAGTGCATCCAGCACATGGGAAGGCAGGGCGCCTCATTAGCCCCTATAAGGTCCCTGAAGCAGCCACGCATGAAGGCTCCACAACTCCATATCACGCCGTTCGCTTGAGACAGCAGGCCCTTCCTAAGGGGAATCCGCCAAAGAGCCGCCAGCATCTCTCTCAGGTCCGGAAACCAAGGTTGATTGGGCCAGTTCGGGGCAACAAGGATCACAGACGCTACAATACAGATTGTTTCAAAGCTGCTTTACAGTGAAAAGGAAAACCAGCGGTATTTAAGCTTCATCCGCTATGTATCTGTCACTAGCAAAGCCTACCAACTAGCTTAGGACATGCGAGCAAAAACCCAAAACCTGCTAAATTATGCTAACAGCATGTTAATTCATAGTAACATGCTAAAACATGTTAGCAACATTCTAATTCATGCTAACATGCTAAAAAATGCTAGCAAAATGTTAATTCATGCTAGTAACATGCTTATGTTTCAGGAACAAATGCTCCATGAACAATCAACGATGTATTAATGTTTTGGTGCTAATGTTTTTATTAAAGACCAGATAACTCTGAACAAACTTTTATTAACGTTACTGTAAGAGCGTTTGTTCATAACTTTGCCAGAGCGTTGGCTGTCAGCTGATGATTATTGCTCATCTGAAGTGTGACTGTGTTTATGTCTGATGGTTGTAGTGAAGTGGAACCTGAACGATGAGCAGAAACATCTCCGGCTGAATGTCTTCGAGAACATCACCACCAGCTGCGTCTTCATCATCGTCGTCATCAACGTCTTCATCACTGCGTTCGGAGTTCAGCGGCCCAATCCAGGCCTGCGACAGTAGCTCAAACACGGGTATATTACACACACACACACACACACACGTATGCACTGTGCAGCATGGCATTATGGGTAAGTTCTGAGTGATCACATGTGCCGCTGTTCCGAAGGAAACAGAGAAAACTATCGGATTTGCCTTTTTTGTAACTCTTTATTTAAAGCCTTTATGTTTCATGCATTATAAAAGTATTTTAATGCATCAATTAAGCACCTATAATGATCTCATGAACTGTAACCACATTATAACATTTCTCTATTCATTGAACAACTTTAAAGAATAAAATGTATTAATAAACACGACAAACAACCTGTTTCAGATCTGTGAATATTATAATGCATTTTAACTTTGTTTACAACCAATTATTATATTTCATGATGCTGCATTCAACAGCCAAGTAAGTAGATTTCAGTTTGAGAAACACTGAGCGTGAAGAAAACACTCCAGGCAACTTTTTAAAAGTTAAAAATGATTGATTACATCAAAACGAATCATAGCGCAGAACATGATTAAGAAGTTATGATATCTTGTGCTATATTCACCAGCTTTTGTGTTCATCTTAATTTGATTTTACTAGCAACAGACGCGAGTCTTCAGCTTGACAATAATTATGGAACTTAAGGAAAGTCTTGGATCAGAATGTAAGGAAAGTGAGGATGTTCAGATGAAAGAAGTGGCTACCATGGAGGTGAATTTCTGAGATTGGTTCTCAAAATATAGAAGAGATGTACTCTTTGGATGAGATCAATGTTTTTTTGGACACAACATTTGGTAAAGTGGTGGAGGTGAAAGATTTTTTCCCAGATGTGGAAAAATTAGTTGTTTCAGTGAAAGTACTGCAGCGTACAGCGAGTTATGATGCACTGAGTAAACAAAAGAGGTTTAGATTAAAGAAACTTATTACGAAATTGAGGAAAAATAAAGGGCCGTCTCCTTTTAAAAAGTAATGGCTAAAATGCACTGGGTGATTCTTATGATGTGTTATCTTTCTCTCTTTCTGTCTCTGTCCACTTTATATTCTAACCTTTTTATGGAGAACTTAAGAGTGGGATCTTTAAATATAAATGGAGGTAGAGATAGGGCAAAATTAGCAGTGATTTCTGAATTCTTAAATATAAATCGGGTTAATATTGTATTTCTGCAAGAGACTCATAGCAATGAGGAGAATGAAATTGAGTGGAATAGATGGTGGGAAGGGAAATTGGCATTAAGTCATGGGACAAACAATAGTGCGGGAGTAGCTATACTTTAAAAAAAAAAGGGTTGAATGTCAAAATTTTAAATACTGAAGAAATTTAAAAAGGAAGGGTATTATTACTAAAAATACAGTATGGGGAACATGTTTTTGTTCTAGTGAATGTGTATGCTCCAAATAATGGGGTGGAAAGAAAGAGTAAGAGTATTTGACCAATTAGATAAAGCACTTCACAAATTTGATGATGACACTTGGTTAGTGTTAGGAGGGGACTGGAACTGTACTATTAATTCTGTAATTGATAGGAATGGTGAAGAGCCACATAGTCACTCTAGTAAATTTTTGTCTAATATAATGGGAAAATATGATTTAATGGATGTGTGGAGAAGAAGAAATATTAGAGTGAGACGGTATACATGGATTAAAGTTGTAGAAAATATGGTTAGTGGGGCTAGACTGGACAGGTTTTATTTGAGTAAGCTGGTGGAAAATAGGGTAATGAGTGCATCAATATTGCCGAATGGTTTTTCTGATCATCATTTGATCATATTTGATTTTAATATAAATATCAGAATTTAATATAAATATCCGAAAGGGTATCCTCATCCCTTAGTTGTTCTTCCTCTCTAACCATCTCAGGACATCTTAATTCTTCTAGACCTCTCTGCAGCCTTCGATACAGTCTCCCACTCCATTCTTCTCACTCGACTCTCCAAACTTATTGGCCTCACTGGTACTGTGTATTCCTGGTTTAAATCCTATCTCACCAACAGGCAACAATACACCACCCTTAAGGGCATTTGCTCTGAATCTGCGCCAGTCTTACACGGTGTGCCACAAGGATCGGTGCTTGGCCCACTGCTGTTTAATATCTACATGCTACCTCTTGGGATGATCATCCGGAAACATGGATTACACTTCCACTGCTACGCTGACGACACCCAGCTCTACATCAGTACTAAGCCTTCTACTCCACTTCCACCAGTGCCACTTATCAACTGCCTGAAGGACATAAAGAACTGGCTGGACAGCAACCTTCTAAAACTCAACAAAGACAAAACAGAACTTATGGTGTTTGCCCCGCTGTCACTTCTTCAAAATGTTGATGACATTATACTGGATGTGGATGGCTGCTCAATCTCTGCATCTCCTCAAGTACGCAACCTTGGCGTCATCATGGACTCCACTCTCTCCTTCCAACAACACATCAAAAACACCATTAAAACTGCATTTTACCATCTTAAGAACATATCCAGACTTCGACAGTGTCTCTCCAACTCTGTAGCCGAGACCCTGATTCACTCCTTCATCACCTCCAGACTTGATTACTGTAACGGTATTCTGTTCGGTCTGCCTAGCAAGGCTACTGACAGACTCCAGTATGTACAGAACTCTGCGGCTAGGATGCTCACTCACACAAAGCTTGGACTTCACATCACTCCCATCCTGAAGAAGCTTCACTAGCTGCCAGTTAAGTCTCGGATCAAATATAAAATCCTCCTCCTGACGTAAAAATCTCTGCATGGACTTGCACCTCAGTACCTTATTGATTTACTCCATCCCTACACTCAGCAACGGTCCCTGCGGTCCTCTGACAAGGACCTGCTCGCTGTCCCTAAGTCCAGGCTCCGGACATTTGGTGATAGAGCTTTCTGTGTTGGTGCTCCATCACTCTGGAACAAGCTTCCTCATGCCATGGATAGATTATAAAATATTTTCAAAATCTATTGCAAATAGGCTTAAAAATGTTTTAAACTTGTTGATTCATAAAGATCAGACATATTGTATACCGAACCGATCAATAATGGACCATTTTTTTTTTTTTTAAGAGATGTGATTGATTGTGGTTGTGTAAATGATTCTAATCTGGGTGTCCTGTCAATAGACCCGGAAAAAGCATTTGATAGGGTAGACCATGACTATCTTTTTAAAGTGATAAAGAGTTTTGGAATCGGTGATCAATTTATTTCTTATGTTAAATTGTTATACTGTGATGTATCAGTTTTAATCAAGGTTGGTGGAGGAATAAGTGCCCCAGTAGCAGTCACTAGAGGTATTAGGCAGGGTTGTCCTCTTTCTGGGCAATTATATAGTCTTGTAATTAAACCTCTGTTGTGGAAATTAAGGAGAGATTTGGGTGGTTTTTCAATTACAGGTGTAAAGGAAACTTTTAAGGTGTACATGTCTGCTTATGCCGATGATGTAACCGTTTGTATTTCAGGGCAAAATGATGTAACAGTTTTGGAAACAAGCATCAGGCAATACGAGATGGCTTCCTCAGCTAGAGTTAACTGGGAGAAAAGCGAGGGGTTTATTACTGGCCGGTGGAGAGACACCGGACCTCCGAAACTTCCAGGAGGACTGATCTGGGGGAGGGAGGGTATAAAAGTGTTTTTAGGAAAGGAAAGTTTTAAATTGAAGAATTGGGAGGGAGTGCTGGAGAAGGTAGTAGCTCGATTGTCTAAATGGAAATGGCTATTACCACAATTGTCCTACAGAGGAAGAGTTCTGGTGGCAAACAATCTGGCAGCTTCCATGCTCTGGCATAAAGTCATTGTTCTGGAACCACCAAGCGAACTGCTTTGTAACATACAGAGGAAAATAGTAGACTTTTTCTGGAGTGGCGAACACTGGACTCGGGCTGCAGTGCTTTACTTACCGGTACATGAAGGAGGCCAAGGTCTGGTGGATGTAAAGAGTCGAATTGTTGCTTTCAGGCTGCAAGCAGTGCAGAAACTTCTCTATCAAGAGGATTTAGCATGGACACAGAGGGCATGTGCATTTCTGCAGATGGTTGAAAGTTTTGGACTAGACAAACACTTGTTTTTATTGAAAATGGACGGGTTGAGACTGGAAAGTACCTCTTCTTTTTACAAATCAATGTTGCAAGCTTGGAATAAGGTTTTGAAAGTGGAGAGAAACTTGAATGAGCTTGGGGACTGGATTAATGAGGAACCACTGTTTCATAATCCGTTGATTCAGACCCGATTTTTATCATCAGTGAGCATTCGGAGAACTCTCGTAAAGAACGGAGTCACTAAACTGGGACATTTACTGGATAATGGCAGATAGAGTTCAGTGGACACTTTTAAAGAACTATCTGGTTTGTGCTCGATAAGAATTGTTTCAAAATTAAGAGATGAGATTTTTGCTGCTTTGCCGAGCAGTTACAGAAACCTTGTTGCTGGGGGGAATGTGCAACAGCAGAAAGGAGGGTTTCCAAAGTTGAACATTTTTCCTGCCGTCAGTGAAGAACAAGGAGAGCTTGAAGGATCTATACTGACTTTTAAAACTCTGCAGCTGTAAGAGTTTGAAGTTGCATCAAAAAAAGCATTGCTGTATGTTACAGTGAAAGTTATTCACATGGACTCACTCAGCCGGCAGAGTTTCTTAAAGTGGACAGAGACAATGGAGCCAGACTTCCTGGTGAGGGACAGGTGGAGAGTCCTGTATAAGCCTCCCATAGAGAAGCGGACAGCTGATCTGCAGTGGAGGCTTATCACAGGGCGATAGCTACGCACAGACATGTAGCACACCTGAATCCGGCAGTGGAATCAACTGAGTGGAATCAAACCAAGAATCAAGCAACTTAAAAAGACCTCCAAGCCTCAAACATCTTAAGAACAAATGTTCTATGGTTTCTTCAACACTACAAAAACTGCAATCCCCCCCATTGCAGTTTTTGTAGTGTTGAAGAAACCATAGAACATTTGTTCTTAAGATGTTTGAGGCTTGGAGGTCTTTTTAAGTTGCTTGATTCTTGGTTTCAGGGTTTTGGTGAGGAGATTTCCCATAAAGTTTTTATCGGGGGACTCAAATAC